CTCTGGTGAGCTTGATGGGGCTAGGAGGGAAGCAAAGGCCTGGAGCTGACTCTGGTGAGCACTTGAAAAGGCTTCTTGACAGTTTCCCTTTGGAAGACGCCACCTGATATCCCTGCTCAAAGCCAGTGCACCACTAGACAGAGTCTGCAACTGGGGACACGCTGGAGGGTGGTCCAGGAAAAGACTGCTGATACCCTAGGCCTGAACCATTGTGTGGAAGCAGAATCAGAGAGGAAATCTTTGGGCTGGCCCCAAACCGGAGCCAGCACTGTGGTCCTAATTAGCTATAGAGAGAAGTGGATTCTCTGATATCTACATAAAGGAAAACAGTGGGGCTTGGAAGGGAGGCAAGTTTAGGTTTGAGAGTAGACAGTTATAAGGAGCAAGGTGATGCCTCAGCCATCTGCTTCCATTTCTCCTCAAGTTCTGGACATAGGCAGGGAGGATAATAAAGTGGAAGCTGCAAAGAGGACAACATTGTGCAGAAGGTGAGTTACCAAGCGGGGAGAAGAGGCCAGTGGCCCTCCTTTGAGGCCAGGCTGTGGGGATGGAGAGGCAAAACAGAGCAGGTTGGGGAGATGCTGGAGCCTGGGAGATGGCACCTGCATCTACATATTCCTTGCAGACCCCCTAACCTTCCCACAAGAGGAGGAAGGAAGGGGATGGATGGTATTTGGGCTCAAGAACACCAAGCACAGCCGCTTTCTTTCCTTCTCCACCAATATCACTGTTGGCAGAATCCACCCTCCTACCCTGTGTGGGAGAGTTTCCTCACTCAGACACATAACTCAAGGGTGCCCTCTCAGAGACCTTTTCTGAACCCTCCATCCTTGTGTCTTTCTGCGCGTGGCCTCTCAATTGCAAACATTTCTTTCTTACCTAAATAGCTCAGACCCTATGCTCTGTCTTGCACAGATCTCCTCTTCCAGCCTACACTCAGAAATCTGGGCAGGAAAGGGCCCCCCAAACTCTATACGGGCTCTACAAGGCCCCAAGACTGGGCCAGAGTCCAGACCCCATAGTGATGAGGCTCTTTGTTCTCCTACAATCTCTACCCACCCCCTCCTTTTTTAAACTGGAATTTCTCCCATAAAAAAAGGAGCTCCAGAGCTTGTGTCTTTCTGCGTGTGGCCTCTGTAATTGCTTTTTTCTTCTTCTTTCCTTCCTTTTTTTTTTATCCTTCCTTCCTCCCTCTACCCCAGAAATATGGAGGAAGCAGAAAAAGAAGCAGAGAAAAAAAAAATCAACTGATGCCTGATTTCCAGAGGAGAAAATCTGGGCTTTGGATAAGGCACATACTAACCTTATTTCTTTCATTCTTCTCCCTACCCTAGAATCCAAAATATACCCAGCCCTCCAGGGTGTGTGCCAGGCTTGCCATCTTATGCTGCAGATGCTAAGTTACACCTCTGATTTTGTCTTTCATACAATGGGTCAGGAATTCCATCTCAGAAAGACATAGCTGTATCTGCTCCTTCATTTTTGGAGTGATGTGTAAGTAGAGAGTAAGGTGAGCATGTAAATTAAGTGTGCAAACAGATAAGCAGAGAAATGGAGACCTTTATTTGGATTCAGAGGATTTAGCCATAGAGCCAGGTATCTTCATGAACATGTTTAGGCTGTGTGCACAGAGTCATGCTTTGGAACAATCCGTTATTCCAACTACATCCCTAAACCCACATGCACGAGTGTCTAGGTGCGTGCGCACGCACACACACACACACACACACACACACACACACACAGGCACAGTGAAAAAGTACATTAAACATGTGTTTCATGTGTTGGATGAGTTGAACTTAGCTAACAACTTGATTCCCCAGATGAAGCCATGGGCAGAGTGGCTGCCACAGTCAGCTATCTCTCTAAAAAGGCTGCTAGAGCACAGCCAGGACTCCGATGCGGCTGGGGTCGTTTTCCATTTCCCTTCCATATGTTTAAAGGTTGTTTTTTCTCTCCAGACCTGCAGCTCACCTAGAGGCTGGTGAAACGACATCTCTTTTGATTTTCCCTAAACTGCATTGCAGTCAAGCCCCTGGCCCGTGGCCTCCCACCCTAACACAGGAGGATAGGGGTGTGGCGTGGGGTTTAGGGGGTTTGGGGCAGTGAGGTGAGTGTCTCAGTGGAAGGTTTCAGTACCCAGCTTTCCAGGGTGGAGTTGCCTCAGAGATGTAATTACCACCTTTCCGGTGGTGCATATTCTCCTGGAGTGTTTAATTTGATTTTATTTGTGTCTCAGCGAGATCCATATATTTGGGAGCTGTTGGGGTGGGAGGAAGGAACCCTAGGCTTAAAGTTAATTAACCAGCAAGATTTTACTTTCCGCTGCTCAGCCCCAGGCCGCTCCTACCTCTGGGATCTTGGAGCGCCCCAGTGGTGATGCCTGGGTCTGTAGGCACCAGGGTCTTGGGCAACCAAGCAAAGGTGGGGAGGAGACAGTTATAGACTGCTGACTTCTTCAGTAACTTTCAGTTCCTAACCCCGCCAGGCCAGGTTTCCCACTCTCCTAAGGATTTGGGGAGCCTACATCTTCATCAGGTCTTCCTGATGAAGGCAATTAGGTTTCTTCTCTTTCCTGTCGCAGCTAAATTTTGGCCGCGCAGTGGCCCTAATAAACGGAATTGTAAAGTTGCCGGGTTAATTAAATCTATATCTCATTGCAATAGGAATAGTTAATGCCTTTATATAAACCTGGAAAAGAACATACTATTAATTTTATTTATTGCTGGGCTGTCCTGCACCCAGATCCTTCCCGCCATTCTGGTCCTATTTCCAAAGGCTGGAGCCACGTCTGTGGGTTTGGCACAGCGACTGGCATAACACAGGGCCGGAGAGCGCATCCCAAGAGTGGGGAAGGCCCTTCAGGCTCTTTGTTTCTCCTGGCAGCCCAGGAAGATGGGTCCACAGCGTCCGGTTTCTGCACGGGGAGCTCGGGGCTTGGTGCTTTACCAGAAGGGCAGCTAGGTCCTGTGTACCAGCTCTACTAGCAGGACTGACCTCCCTGTCCTCCCACCCCTATGCCAGGCAGGCCTTGGGCCAGGGGCCAAGGTCAGGCGATGCAGTCTAGACCACCAGGGTGTGTTTGCTCATTTTGCCTTGACCTTGGACTCGCACAGCAGCTTTCCCAGCAGAGCAGACTCCCAGCTACATCCCACCTTCCCTTTGGCTTGTCTCTCCTCTCCCCCACCATGGCTTAGTACTCATGTGAGCTAGCCTGCTCATGCTTCAAACCCCTTTCTGTTGTTTTTCCTTCTCCTGCTACCCAGCCGGAATCTGCTTTCTGAACTCCGAGCTGACCCTTCTGGATGAAGATCACACTGATAAGAATTGTGTTCCTCACCCTCACTCACCTGCCTCTGGGCGCTCCCAACCTACGTCAAACACCACTTTCTCCCTCAGTGAGGAGGGCTGCTGCTGTGGGGGTCTCTGGCCATTGCTCTCAGGTTTGAGGGGTCCAGTGGGTACGGCTTGGTGGGGTGGCTTAATGCGTGGCGACAGCCTGCGCGAACATGAACACCCAGGATTTTTAAAACCTGTGGCAGAAGCAGAAAAAAGGGATCCTAGCCCCCTCCCCTCTTTGATTTTCCCCTCTCTTTATCATTTCTTCTCCTCAGAGGGGCCCTGGAAGGGAACTTGGCTCAGATCCACGGTGATGTCCCCCGCAAAGGGCGTGACTCCATTGAGGTCCTGGACAAGAAGGGGATTAAAAGGAAAGAGGAGGACTTCTGAAAAATCAGTAAATTCGTCTTTATTTATTGAAATGGGGGATGATTTTGTGACATGAAAATGCTCCGCGCTAAAACGGAGCGCCTCCGAGGAAACTGGAAGCTAGACAGTTGTTCAGCTGGGGACTGCGTCGGAGGCGGGTCCCGCGGGGACGAGCGGGGACCTCCTAGGTGGCCCAGATCCGCACGTGGGAGCGATCCCGCCAAGAAGCGTCATTCTTCCCTATTTTCCCCATTTGCTAGCGTATTGCTATACGAGGAGAAGCTCTGATAAGCATTGAAGGGATTTTGCTTTCCTAGACCGAATCCTGTTGTCCTATTTCTTTGGGGGGAAAAAAATCTCACTCTCAGGCTTTTATTTCTATTGCGTGTTGAAACGTCAGTATTGCCCCCGTTTTTCTCCTTTGGTTCTTCCTCTATTTCTCGCTCAGACTATCTTGCATCACTGCACGATCCCCATCCCCTACCCTCTACCCCCGAGACGAAGTGTGTGGGGACTGTCACAGGTCGCCAGCTCTCTCGCTACCAGCGAGGAGAGGAGCGGATCTTTTTCACTGGAGCTTTGGAGAAAGCGGTGACGGTCGGGAATGGAACATCTCTGCATTAAAGACTCGAAGCAAGGGGTCGTCGGGTTTTTTCCAACCGTGAGTTGGAGCGAAACCTGCCGGAGCTGGAGCAATCTTGCCTGGCTTCTAGTTTTTTCATTATTATTTTAAAATACAGTGATGTCCCCAGTTTTAGTTCCAAGCCCCTACCTAGGGACTTAAGCAGACCAAGCGGTCGGTTTAAGGATAGCGTTCCGTCTCCCTGGTGCACATCCCGAGCCTAAGAGGAGGCGCCCAGAAACGGCCCTTTCCTCCCCAGGCCACTTTGCGTCGGCCAAATTCCGCCTCTCCCTCCTTCCCGGCTCGCCAAGGGGGCGTCGCCCTGTCCCTTTAAAGGTCCAAACTCCCTCCTTCTTGCCCCCTCCAGAGAGCCAATCACCTAAAACCTCATTTCTTTTGGCCCCACCCCACCTCTAGGGGAGGGACCCCAGGAGACCTAGACGGGGTATCACGTGCGCTGACCGCCGTCACGTGGGCGCAGGAGAAGCGCTGAGCTGGGCGGGGCGGGAGCTGGAGGCTTTCTTAATGAAGTGTCTCCGCATGCGTAGAGGGACCGTGCGAAGGGAGGTAAAGCACCGGGTGGAGGAGGCGGACGGCTAGGAGGCGGAGGAGGAGGAGGAGGAGGAAGAGGGGAGGGGTGGAGAGGGAAGGGAGGAGGCATGGGGGAGGGAAAAAGAGCGAGGTGTCTCCCTAGCTCGCAGCCTCTGGCAAGTGGAGTTTTTAAAAAGCTTGAGCAGATCATGTCATGACGACTTCGCTGCTCCTGCATCCGCGCTGGCCGGAGAGCCTTATGTACGTCTATGAAGACAGCGCGGCAGAGAGCGGCAGCGGCGGCGGCGGCGGGGGCGGCGGGGGCGCGGGTGGAGCAGGGGGCGGCTGCAGCGGAGCGAGCCCCGGCAAAGCCCCGAGCATGGACGGTCTGGGCAGCAGCTGCCCGGCCAGCCACTGCCGCGACCTGCTTCCGCACGCGGTGCTGGGCCGGCCGCCGGCTCCCCTGGGCGCCCCTCAGGGCGCCGTCTACACGGACATCCCGGCCCCCGAGGCGGCGCGCCAATGTGCTCCGCCGCCGGCGCCCCCCACCTCGTCCAGCGCCACCCTGGGCTACGGCTACCCATTTGGCGGCAGCTACTACGGCTGCCGCCTGTCGCACAACGTGAACCTGCAGCAGAAGCCTTGCGCTTACCACCCGGGCGATAAGTACCCGGAGCCGTCGGGCGCCCTGCCCGGTGACGACCTGTCCTCCAGGGCCAAGGAGTTCGCCTTCTACCCCAGTTTCGCCAGCTCCTACCAGGCGATGCCCGGCTACCTGGACGTGTCGGTGGTGCCCGGGATCAGCGGCCACCCGGAGCCGCGTCACGATGCGCTCATCCCCGTCGAAGGCTACCAACACTGGGCTCTCTCCAATGGCTGGGACAGTCAGGTGTACTGCTCCAAGGAGCAGTCTCAGTCCGCCCACCTCTGGAAGTCTCCCTTCCCAGGTAAGGAAGGGGCTCTAGCGCCGCCGCCTTCGCCGCTGCGGGGACCCCTCCCCGCCCTGCCTGCCCCGGGGCTCCGCGCCCCAGCCACCCCCGCCGTCTGGCCCCGGCGCGCCGGCTCGGCTGGGCTGTCGATGGAGCCGGCCTGGCGAGCTGAGCTGAGGAATGTGCTGGGGAAGAAATCTGCTCCGACACGTTCCTCGGAGCTGCCCGGTCGGGAGTGAAGCAATCACAGGCGCCCGAGCGCCCGGCCGCCGGCTCGGGCCCCGTTTGGAGCTCGCTCTACTCCTCCTCCTCCAGCCCGCTCTATCCTCAAGTAGTTTCTAGACCCTAAACACCCGGTTCCGGTCAGGAATGGGTTATAGTGGATCTCCAGTGCCTTGAAATTGAGGGCGAAATGGGCAATCCACTGGATAACTGGGGTAAAAAATAAGAAACTTCATCTTGTTTGCCTGAATTTTCAGGACATTTAGGCGCAAAAAAATTTTTAAAATAAGGATGTAGGGCCGGGGATTGAGCTCAGCGGCGTAAGCGCGCACCTGCCAAGCGCGAGGTCGTGAGTTCGATCCCCGGTACAAAAAAAAAAAAAAAAAACCAAAAAGGATGTAATTTGCAGTCTGCAGGCATGTAGGGTTTTTCTCTTGATTTATTTTTAAAATTCAGTCCGAATGTTCTGATCCTTTAGGGAGAAAAGCTATAATTTCGGGAGGAGTAGAGAGGAGGGGGCTCAATCCTCTCTCCTGGGATATAAATTTTTCTTTGACTGTACCTCTCTCGTGTGCTGAACTCAAATACTATGAGTGTTTTCACTGACAACTTCCCACAAAGTGGGCGAGAGTCATTTACTATGCCCCAGAGAAAGAAAAGGGACCTGGGATAAGGGGTGGAGGAAGGAGAGCTGTGAAAATCGGGGTCCAGGTTACTGCTAGGACTCCTGGATCTTACATGGCTGTGTATGGGAGGGGAGAATTCTCTGAAGTCCTTTTCCTTTTCTAACCCAGGCTGTCTGAATAAGATAGCAACTCCCACCATTCCCCAGGGAAGAAAGAGCAGTCCCAGGTTTCCCAGAATCACATTGGGAGCTTTAGATTCTGCTCTGTTTGAAAAATCAGAGTTTCTCCAGGTCTACAGAATAACAAAATTGAGGCTGCTTGTCGTGTAAGCGGAGCTCAGTGGGAAATGGTCTCTTCTGAGGCCTATAGAGTTGGAGGGGCTGAACAGCCATAAATGTCTTCCCAATACCACCCAGAGGTTCTCCCCTGTATGCTGGGCCCAGGGATGTTCTCATTAGAAAGCATAAACCCCAAGACCTCCTAAAGGTGGGCCTGAAATTCCTCTGCATCCGGGATTGGAAACAGAAGTAGGCAGTGAAGTATCACTGAATGAGGATTGGAATTTGGCTCCGTGATGGAGCACTTGCCTAATAGGCATGAGATCCTGGGTTCGAGGCCCTGTGTTCAATCCTCCCAAAGGGTTCAAGGCCCTGAGTACTGCCCCCCCATAAGTGATTGGATATTGTTAGTGTAGTAAATAGCATTCGTGTGAACATTATGAGATTACTTAAGATAACAACTCAATACCAGGGTGGACTCAGCACAAGGCATTCCATTTCTGACTGCAGCATTGAGAATGATGGCATTTTAGTATATGGTATCATGAGTCATCTCTGAATTAGCTGCAAGAATTTTATTAACCACCTAATATAAAACACATAATGCATTTCTAGAAGATACTGTACATGTAGAGATACTATAGAGAGGGCGCCCTTTATTTCTCTATCTCACCAAAACAGATAATCTCTTAGGAGATGAGGGTCCAGCCAGAATTTCTGGACAGTAGAGCCCGTGCGTCATGCTAAAGGGCTCCTGGGCAGGGAACAGGTGCCCACCAGGCCCACTGTGGTCAGGAGCAGAGGCTCACAACAATGGGCAAAGGTTTAGTGTGAGGAGATCAAAGAGAAAGATGCTCTGATATCTCAGGAAGGGTAAGATCCAAGAGAAGCTCAAAAACATCTTTAAGCAAAACAAACATTTCAGAGGTTTTTAAAAGAAAAAACTTTGTCTAAAATAAACACTTTTTGTTCACAGCCTCCCAGAGAAAAACATCTCTGAAATTTAAAAAATACAACCCAATTGAGATTTAATACACTTGCAAATTACAGTATGGAGATGGATATAAAACCCAGCATGCCTCATGAGCTTTGTGCTCACACCCTGTCTGTGTGGAAACATCCTGACTGGTATATCTCTGTGAGTGCAGAGGTCCAGGCAAGAAGCAGATGAAAAAGAAATTATCTTCAGACACCCTCCATCTTTCTACCCACACAGATCTTTTAGAAGTAGTGAGATTTCCAGATAACTCTGTCTATGCAATTATGGTTTGTTCAGCAACATCTAGGCATAAACACCACTGTCTCTCTTCAACGCCTCTGGCTCTGAGAAACCTCATCTATGGCAGTCTGGGCTGGTGTGAGAGATGGAGGCAATTGTTCAGAAAGATCCAGATAATTAGCGCTGAGATGTGTTGTGGCTTCTTCCTTCTCCCAATTATACAGACCCTTGCTTCAGTGCTCTGGTTTTTTGTTTGTTTGTTTGTTGTTTTTGGTTTTTTCTCCCTACAGCGAGTATAGACATATTTTTCTTCTATTCTCTTTTCCTAAGAGAAACAGAATTTCCAGGAGAGAATTAGGCAGAAGAGAGAAAAAGAGATGAGGTTGAAGGAGAAAAAGAGAGAAAAACAACAGTGGGTGCATTTAGGTTGAGAAAAGCAGCTGGTGGGGTTTCTGTCTGGACAATATACTCTTCAGAGCCCAGAACCTGCTCTTGAAGGTGGGTAATCAAGAGTGGATGGACTGTGGGAACTTGTACATAGGAAGTCCTCTGCGGTCCCCACAGAATGCTGTGGCTGAGCATTGATCTAAGTTTTATTCTTTCTCCAAGGTGTTGATTATGCTCCCAGGTATAAAGGGAGTAGTACATGAGACCTAGAAGACACTAGGGAAAGGGTGAAATTAGCCAAATCCCCACTCATTGTAGCCAGTGTAGACACAGATGTTTTCATATCTGTAGCTTCCACTTCCTTTTCATAGTAGCAGACAATGAAAGAGGGCTTCTTTTTTTTTTTTAATTTTTTTTTTTTTGTCTTTTTTCCTTTTTATTGGTACCGGGGATCGAACTCACGACCGCCTGCTTGCAAAGGCAGGTGCTTATGCCGCTGAGCTAAATCCCTAGCCCCCTGAAAGAGGGCTTCTTTGAGAAAGCAAGACTGAAGTTATCTCCAGAGGAGATCGGAGCAATCTTCAGTTTTCTAACCCATGAAATAAAGCCAGATCGATCCTTGACTTCCTGTAGAGAGAAATAATCAGTTCGAGCCAGTTGCCTACTTCTTAAAACTGTTTTTTTTTAAAGGCTTAGGTTGATTAAACGTCATTGGAAATTTAAAGTTGCAGTTCAGGGCACTAAAATTAAATAACTAATTATGAGTTTTCAGAAACTGAAGTTGAAAAACAAACCCAGGAATAAATACGTGCCTACTTCAGAAGCAAAACCCACCTTTAGTCTACTTTGTTCTCCAGGAAAAAAGAAGTATTTTAAAGCTGGGTTGTTTTAGGTGGCCTATTTCCATTTTAAAATATACTGTATTGGGCTGGGGATTTAGCTCAGTGGCATAAGCACCTGCCTCCTGAGCACAAGGTCATGAATTCAATCCCTGGTATCAATATTTAAATACGAATGTTGTACTTAAATATACATATATTTACTATATATATGTATGTATATATATATTTAAAATCTTGTGTATATATATATATATTAAATCCTGTGATTTAAATTATTTTATCCACTCTAGTCTCTGGTTCCAGATTTTGTAAAGAGGTTTAATAAAATAAACCTGAAAAATGCTTGAAGAATTTAAAAACAAAATCAGAAACTCATGTTACTACTTGCCACATTCATTTTTCTTGTTTCTTAATCATCAGTTTCCCCAAACATGGGTATATCTATAAGAATAAAACAATTTTTAAAAAGAATAAAACAATTGAGAACTGAAAGATGTTTTTAAAATGATCTTGCACAAAATCTCTTTTTTTAGCCCAAATGACCTTGTCTGTTTAAGTTAAGGTGTTCTGTTTTTCAGATTTAAAAAAAGAAACTTGGCTTATTTACACAAAGGCAGAGAAAAATGACAGGCTGGACAATTTTCCTGGGAAATTTTTATCATGAAGAAAGCCAGAGCATGCCACTGGACCACCCCCACCCTACTCCCGTTTTTTTCTTGAATGCTATTTCTCCCTGTTTTTGATTGTGGTCTCTTTTCTCTTCATCCTGTATCCTATAGACCAAATGGGAACTGGTATAAGGAAAGTGTTTTGTGAGAGGAGAGTGTCAGGAAGCATTTCAGGAGGAACATGGTGTCTTCACTCTGGGCTGTGTCTCCAGTTTCAGAGAACAGTATGATTGAAGAGAAAGCCTCAGTTATCCTGTCCCTTTCATTAGGTTCTGCCCAGTGAAACCTCACATGGGAAAAATCAAGAGCCATTATTCAGATAATCTTCATTTCTGCCCCCCCCCCCACCTTCTATGACCTTTTACTGCTGGGGTGAGGGCCGGGAGTGGAAGGTGGGAATAAATCGCATATACTGTTTTTAGTTCCTGTGAAATTCTCAGAGCCTAAAGAAACTGAACTGGTAGTTCTTGAGATGAGGATGCTAGGGTTTCAGGTTGGAGTTGGTGCATAGACAGTTTCCTTCAGTTTTGAAGGAAGTGAATGGGTGAAAGGTTGGAATGGAGTTTGCTCTATTTTGTTGGGACCCCAGTGTGAATCCCTTGCTTACAAGGGCCTAAGTCTCTGTATTCAAGACAGGATCTCTCAATTTGGGTATAATTCACAACATTGAGCCTTCCATTTCTAGAGCAGTCAGCCTCCCATGCAAGCTGCCTTCACCTGGACATGTTCTTCCTTTCCTCTCTTGGTACTTACAGTCCCTAGTGCAGGGCCAGTGCCCAAAGGCATGAAGACCCTCCTGGTCTGTGCCTACTGAAGCTGACCTGTGCCTGCTATGCCCTCTTCAGACATACTCCTTCCTTAGTGGGGCAGATAAAGGCTGATAGACATCCAATGAGCTATCTACTGGAAGAAAAGATTTTTTTCCATATACCCAAAATCTTGCAAGCATGGCAGGTCAGGGGAAATTTGGAAGATCTCAAAGGGTTTTAGGTTCCTTGTTAATTTTAAAGAGCCATATTGAAGCCTGAGGAAAAAGGAAAAATCTATAATACTGATCCTGTGTTTGCTTAAAAATTGATACTTTGTTTATCATTCAATGGCATTCCATTTGATTTTTTAAATGTATCAAAATATTATCTTGATTAGTTTTGGGAGTTCCTTTCCTTAGAGTTTGTAGCCAAGGAGGCTATCTCAGCGACCTCCCAGTTTTGTGCTAGTAACTTCTTCATTTTTATCAGTACCGGGGATCGAACTCACAACCGCCTGCTTGCAAGGCAGGTGCTTATGCCACTGAGCTAAATCCCCAGCCCTAAGCTAAATCCCTAGCCCGCTAATAACTGAGGTACAGAGGATTGATTAGAGGGCTTCATCAGGCGGAGAAATCCGCCGGCACCTTTTGGATCGCTGCCCAAATCTTGCGCCTGGGCAGCCTGGTGGGCCCCACCAGTCTGGCCTCGCACCTCATTTCCTGCCGCCCGGCTTCTCTCCCCTCTCTCCCAGACGTGGTTCCCCTACAGCCCGAGGTGAGCAGCTACCGACGTGGGCGCAAGAAACGTGTGCCCTACACGAAGGTGCAGCTGAAGGAGCTAGAGAAGGAGTACGCGGCCAGCAAGTTCATCACCAAAGAGAAGCGCCGGCGCATCTCGGCCACCACGAACCTCTCGGAGCGCCAAGTCACCATCTGGTTCCAGAACCGGCGGGTGAAAGAGAAAAAGGTGGTCAGCAAATCGAAAGCGCCTCATCTTCACTCCACCTGACGGCTCACCAGGCCACCCGCCCCGTCTATTTATGTCTCCGCTTTGTACCATAACCGAACCCATTGAAGGACAAAGGACCCTGCGCGGGTACGGAAAGTATTTAAAGTTAACAAGAAAGAGGAACCACGCGCCAGAGGCAGAGTCTTAAAGGAAGCGCTCAGCCTTACCCTACTCCCTTTCCCATCCCCACCTCCACCCCATCCAGAGGGTACCCACGGTGTACCAGCAGCTTTGGAGAGGGTCTGGGTGGGTTATGGGAGGAAAGCTCTGTTCCCCTTCGCCCTAGCTCCGTATCAGCAGAGAGCCCAAGCATTCCAACCAAAGCAGGGTTGGGATCTTGAATGACTCAATTTTTTTATTATTATTTTTAATTTTTTGGTACTGGGGATGGAACTCACGACCTTCCACTTGCCAGACAGGTGGTGCTTGTGCCACTGAGCTAAATCCCTGGCCCTTAAATGACTTAATCCTTGCCCTTCCTATGCCCAGGATAGATGACCTTTTTGAAGGCTGCAGCTTGGGTGCAGGATTTGGTGAGCTCATATTCTCCTTCCAATGCCTCCTTCCCTCCATCCCTGCCACACTCTGTAGGCAAGATTTCCCAGTTACGATTTTCTGTGCATATTTTAAAAATCGTGTTAATGATAATGATTAGGGACTTGGCAGCGTGATTGAAGTACAGACCATGCTTGGAGCTTGTAGGTTTTCTTTCTTTCATGTTTCCACAAAAGCTAGAATTGGTGCAGCCGCTAGTTCCACCCCAACCCAGAAGTAATTTCTCTTCTCAGAGCTGTCTTTGCCCTCTCCTGCTCTGCTCTCGCAGTCATGTGGAAATCCAGGGAGGACAAAAACTCTAACCATGCTGCTAAATGCAGTTTAGTTCTCCAGTCTCCTAGTGACGTTTGGAATTAGGCCAAACTCAGAGGCAGAACTTTGTCTTAAGGATAAACTTCTTTTCCGAGGAGATGGAGAGACTGCGCCTCAGCAGAGCGCCTCTCCAGCCACCCATCCATCAAAGCAATACCTTGGGAGAGGCTTCACACTTTCACTGCTACAGATTTCCCAAGGAAAGCTAAAGGAGCTAGTTTAGAAGCCTAAAATAACTGGCCCCAATTAGCTACCTAGATGTAGATGCTGCCTAATATTACCTTCCTTGAAAGCCTACTTGGTGCTGTGGAGACCCCCCCCCCCAACCTCTTCCTTTCCCACTGGCACATTACAAAACAGTGTTCTTTTGAAATGTCCATCTGAAATAGGTTCTTTTTTTTTTTTAATGTTCTGTATCTGTATATAGTATTGTGATGTCTGGATGACAGTGTACTGAATGCAAAAACATTCCATAAACCTGTTTTTAAAATAAAATATCTTTTTTGGCCTTGATTTTATTGCTCAGATTCCTTATGAAGTTCTTTCTATCTACTGGCTCACTGGGGTACAGGCTACCAGATCCATCTCCAGCCAGAATGGGTAGGGGAACGAGTATAGACATCATCCCTAGATTGGTAGATCTTCAATCTATATTTTGCTGCACTTACATGTTTTAGCTATTTTGGTTGTCTGCACCATCTAGACAAAAGGAAACTTTTTGGGGAGGTACCAGGGAAGAAACTCAATCTCACAATTATCAGGCAAGCACTTGAGCTGCTGAACTAAATCCCCAGCCCACGAAAGGAAACTTCTTATCTTCATCCCCAATTTAGAGGTGCATATGTGGCAGCAGGGTAGGGGGAGATGTGATCTACCATTGAAAAGCCCTGGAAGTATGTAAGTAAGAAAAGGATTTTTGTAGCCATTCCATTGATAATTGGGGCTGAGGATTGGGGATATAGCTCAGTGATACTGTGCCTTGCACAGGGCCCTGGCTTTGATCCCAGCACACACACACACACACACACACACACACACAGGGACACCCACACATGCACATGCACATGCGCATGCTCAGGCCACCTGGGACTCAGATCTGGTTCTGGGTGCTCAGAAGGCAGCATCCCAGCTAGGAGCTCAGTAACCTAGGGGTACCCACAGGAATGGGAAACTAACATTAGGCCCCTGGGGCCCTACTGCTCTGAGGGTCTCAAATCTCTGGCCAGTTCAGGACTGGGATTAGGGTTGGAATGGGGTTTACACCTGCTAGGGGCAGCTTTGAACTCATCTTTTCCCTTATCAACCTATGCAGAGTGGTTGTAATGCTAGTACCCTTTGGGCCCTAGTTTGCCAAGCCAGATCTACTTTCACTCTCTAACATTCCTGGGAACCCATTCTTCCAGGTAATCAGGAACCCATGTAGATGCTGCCTCTAATTTGTTTTGCTTGTCGCATCTGTGCCTATCTCCCTATCTGGCAGAGTTAATGAGATCATTAAGTTGTCAGGTTAAGAGACTTTTAAAAGCAATATAGCCTAAAACAATGTTATCTCAGATTAAATCTTTACTGCAGCAATTTTATTTATATATAATATTTTTCCTCTCCTGAGACACCGAAAAACTGGAGGTGGATATACCAGGTTGGAAATCAGAGTTCTCTGTTGTCTCTTTGCCTGATGGGGCTGAAGCTTTTAAAATTTCATTTAAGGGGCTGAGGGTTTAGCTTAGTGGCATAAATGCCTGCCTGGCAAGCATGAGGTCTTGAGTTCAATCCCTGGTACCAAAAATAAATAAGTAAATAAATAAATAAAATTTTATTTAAATGAGATGAAACTCACACATGTGTGCATGCACACACACACACACACACACACACACACACACACACACACATATACAGAGTCTGAAAGACAAAGAGACTGGAGAGCCTGTAATTCATCCTCTTGGAGGTTCTGCTTACTGATGTGGCTGCCACTTCTGTTCTAGTCATCAGAACTCTGGGTTGAGCACCAGAGAACCACACACAGGGCAGAGGAGAGGGAATAGATAAGACTCCAAGGAATAACACTCACTCTTTTTTTTTTTTTTTTTTTTTTTTGTCTTTTTCTTTTCCCTTTTCCCTTTTTTATCGGTACCGGGGGTTGAACTCACAACCGCCTGCTTGCAAGGCAGGTGCTTATGCCACTGAGCTAAATCCCCAGCCCCATAACACTCACTCTTAATTCCATTTCCCATAACTTCCCACCAATCACCCTCACTCCAAAAACCCCTGGTTCTCTCCTCAGTTAGAGACCCAATGTGTGTTTGGGCAAGAACAGTGATGCTCTTTTGATATCAGTCTCCAGCCCTCTTTACTGTTTAGGGTAGTCCCATGATAAAACTGTAGACACAGTGAAAGCCGGGGACTCTGTGGATAAAGAAAAATCTAGAGTTCTCCCAGCAGTTTTTCTCCTTCTGCAACCACACCCACAATTAAACAAATGATTATGTCTTATCTGGGTGTAATGATGTGTGTCTGCAGTCTCAGGTGCTTGGGAGGCTGAGATAAAAGGATCATTGTGTACAGAAGTTTTGGCCCCCTGTTCTCAAAAAAGAAAATAAAATAGCCTTCCCATACTGTGGAAACCATCTCAGACCCCAAAGGGATGATGAAAAATGAGGAAAGTTTTGGGACTTTACTTGGATTGTACTGGGATACCAATAAGGGAAAGACTGCGGTTCTAGTGTGCGAGGGTATATAGGACTCTCCCAGGCACCCCATTAAACACACCCAGATTGTTTCTGAAGGCGAAGGCCTGGATTAATTTTGGCTTTGCCGATGCATCCTTTGTAACAGCAAGCAAACACTGTGTATGTGTACATGTTCCGGGAGGACAAAGTTGAGAAATATATTATTCTTTGCCTGATTGTGTTAGCCTCTTATCTTCCCAATAAGAGCTGGTATTGTGATGGGAGGCTCTCTGTAAGGTAGGTGTGCATGTGCGTGTGCATGGCTTTGAGCCATAGAGAATTCCTGTCTCTTGTATGTGTGAATGTATAAATAACAAAGTTGTCATTCTGGATACCCATCTCATAGTGTAGAGAAAATTTTCTCCACTTTACTTGTACTGTTAGAAGTCATTCTCTCTGAGTCTAGTCTCTAGTGTTTGTTAGAATAAAGCTTTGTGAGAGAGGATGAGGGGGTCAAGAGGGATCTAAAAGGCTGATGCGGCTGCCTTCCTCCTGAAAACTGACGGAGTGAAGGACTGATGCTCCTGTTGTCTTTCTCACAGTTCTTACAGTCTGATGCCAGGGCTGAGTGCCCAGATGAGCTTGGCCTCACAGGACTCTCCATATGCAGGTCACTCTCCCAGACTTAGAGGTTGTGCTCAGCAAATCCTTTCCAAAGGGTTTTTTGTTGTTGTTGTTTTTTTTTTTTTTTTTTTTTTTTTGGAGAAAATGTCGTGGAAAAACTCTGGTAAGAGTTTCAGACCCAGGGCCATTGCTATATAGGCCAATTATCCACTAGTCGCATGCCCAGAACCTACCTGAGGGAACAAGACCAACAGTTCTCTGGCAGATTGCTCCTGAGACCATCTTCTCCTAAGTTTGATCCACAGACAGCTGGGTCAGCACTGGAGGGAAGAATTCAGCAGGCCAGTGTGGTTGCTAGGCCCAATCTCTCTAAAAAGTCCTCCTATTGAAGGGGGTTTCTACAGCAGCCCCCTCTGAGGCTTCATCCTATTCCAAAGACAAAACTGGAGGATCTGTCTGAGTGTGGGTATGGGCCATCCTCAAGCAAACTCCAAGTGCTGGTTCAGGCAGATGTATATCTAGACCTAGGTTGGTGGAGGATTGAGGGGCCCTGGGGAGCCAGGCTTCTGGGAGGAGGAGGGGGAGGGGGCCAGTACCTTTTCACAACCAACCAGGCTCTTCTTTTAGCCTTGACCATGACTAGGTCTTTCTGACCTTGACATCACAAGAAACAGGGGGAAGGGGGGTGGGGAGGGTAAAAAAGGCCTTGATCTTCCGGTGGCCAGAGAAGGGGAGGGCCCGCTTGCCCCACTGAGGCGACATCCCCCTTCCCGCCTGGGCCCGCCGCCTCTGTTTACACACAGAGGAGGTGTCGTCTCCAGTCTAGACAGGGGCGCTAATAACGCCCATAAAAGGCGGCCTCTCCAGAGATGCTGCAGCAACTCAGCTCCGGAGCCAGCCGCTGGCCGATCCCTCCGCCTCTCCCGCCCCGCCCCTCGGATCCCTCCTTATGGTCGCCGGCGGCCTGAGGGAGGGGGCATCCGGAAGGTTTCAGGAGGCTGAAAACCCCCGCCCCTCCTCCTCTTCAGTCTCCAAAGGTAAGTGGACCCCCGCCTTCCCAGCCCAGCCAGCTTGAGCGCTGGCAGTACATTCTCCCGCCCCCACCAGCCTCCAGGGTCGCTTGTTCCAACCCCAATTTCCTGGCACCCCTGCACCAGGACTGGCTCTCGGTTTGGGAAACAGACAGGTACCTACACATGCAGATCTCAGGCTTCTCCCACAGCTGGGCTTGCTCTGTGGACACAGAGTCAGCGGCCCGGCCCAGGGGCTAGGGCACCTGGGGCAATCCTTATCCCACCGGGACCCCAGCTTCCAGGTCCTGTGGGGACCAGGCCTAGGGCTGGGAACTGCTCTACAGACGGCTGTGGGTGTGGCATACTCTGTCTTTTTAAGAAACTTGTTCCCCACACCTTTCCTGACACTCAGTAATTCACTAGGCAGAGGAGATCCTCTGCTGGCGGAGGGGGAAAATGTCAGAGCTGTGCTATATTTAACTGTTAGCGCGCCGCCAAAACCAGGGAGAAAACCCGGGAAGATGGCTCATTTAGCAAGGATCAGGTGGGGCGCCTGTATGTGAAGAAACAGTCTCGCCTAGGGACTCTCTTCGCCTCCCCATTTTCTGAATGGCAATTAGGCTGGGAGGATTTGGTGGGAGGGGGTCCAGAAGTGCAGCAAGCTCAGAGGAACTCGGGGCTGAAGCCTGCCTGGGCTCCCTCACCCAACCCTACTCTAAGCCCTCATCCTCCCACCTGCATATCGCCAGAAAGCAGCATTGGAGTAAGGGTTGCCCAACATGATCTTTAGGTCTTGGACACCCGCAGGGAAGCCTGGGAGCCAGGTGAGCTCCGACCCCCAGAGGAGCCCACGAAGCGATGGAAGTGGAGAATGAACCCCTTACCCTTACCCAGCCCTTCTGAACCCAGCTAAGGTCCGGTCCCAAGTCTGCGCTGTTCCACAGACAGATGGACGGAGCAGGTCAAGGAATTGGGCGGGGCCCAGGCACTGCGGACTACCGCTTTTCAGTTTATCCTGTCCTGAGCTAGCGCAACGCCTTCTTCCAGTTCTTTAGGGGTCCCGGCCCTGTCTCATTTGCATACGCGGCAGAACCGCTTTTTGCAGACTAGACAGTGACCTTGAACTGAGCCTCCGCGGCCACTGGGCCATCCAGAAAAGGCAGCTCCGCGCCATTCATTCCCGACCCTGGGTTGTCGCGGGAGCCTG